GGAGCTAGGGACTGCTGTGTTGTGCTGAAAGTTGCTGAAGTGACAATGTGTCAGTGAGGGTGAGCACCTTGATTCTAAGTGGTCAGTGCAAGACATCACTGTCTCCACAAACCCAAAAGCAGGGTGCCTGGACCTCTAGATCATTTCATAACAGGAAGTCCCTCTTCCTGAGGTTTAAACTAACAGGAGAGCTAAACAAGGAGCTAGGAAAGAATGTATTGCACACACAAATGCAAAGTGAGTAACTGTCACACAGTTTTCCACCGGCAGTTAATTCAGTGTTGGTAGGCAGCTCCCTGAAAATGGAAGGCTCAACTGGAGCGCCACAATGAAACAAAGTGCCCAGCCGTGAGCCCATGGCTACAGGCAACACTGAGGTAAGTGACCCCATACAACATCAGGAGATTCCTTGAGGGAAAGAGCAACTGCTATAGGGAGGTCAGCCACAATCAAAGCCTGATTCATCTGGACAGGAAACATGGTACACCTGCCTGACCTGAGTTCCTGCTAGTGCCGCTTTAATATAAAACAAACCCCAGTCTGAACATTTCTCCAGACGTGGACTGTTATCTACAACCCCCAGGGTGTCATTGCTACCCGGATGTAACAGCATCTAAACTTCCTCCATCAGAGCGCTTGGTTTTCTAGCTGGTTCCCATCTCAGTAGCTGCCATCATCGCACCACCATTACCTTTCGAACAAAGGCTGTCAGCCTTACTGATACCTTGCTGTGCCCAACCTCCAGCGACAACACCTTCAATCAACCACAAAGCCCTACTGATTCCCTGGCACCTCTCTCACACCTACCTCAGAGCTCCTCTCCCTGCCTTTGCCCTTGTCCTGCCCATTCTCCACCCAGGAGCTGGTGATTGGTAAGTCGCTCCCATGCTCAAATCCTCCACTACCCTTGGGTTACACTTGGATCACACCTACGAGAGCCTTGGGTGGCCTCACCCTCCCCATGCCTGCTTTCACCTCACACTGCCCCTGCTCTCTGTGTCCAGCCACAGTCCCCTCCTTCCTACTTCTTCAAACACAGGTTTTGCACTTTCTGCTTCTTGGCCTGAAATGAATGCCTCTTCTAACTGCAGAGCTGCCTTGTGTTCCTCATGCACATCCCTGGGAAAGTCACCCTGGGAGAGGGGACTGTGCTGGCCACCCTTAAGGTGGTTCCTCTGCTTCTTCACTCTCAGCATCCTTCTTCTGCTTACTTCCTGCAGCACTCTCGTCAAAGCCTTAGCTTTGGTTTATAGATCAATTATCAATCCCCCCCCATCAAAACACAAGGTCTGAGAGAAGGACCCTGTCTACCCTGATTTCAGCTACAAAACCACATCCTTTCAGAGCGCATGGCATACTGCAGGGTTAATACCAGTGGTAAAGAGATAATAAGCATAAAAGAAAAGATGTGGAGTTAAGAAACATAAGAAATGAAACTGACTCTACCGACACCCCAAGGCTCTACCTAAGGTTCAGTCTAAGAAACAAAGTCCAACTCTGCTGGTCAAAAATACACATCAGAGCCAGGCATGTCGTTCAGTGGTATGGTACTTAGCTGGCACCAAGGCCCTGGGTTTGACCAAGTACTGCAAAACCCAAAAACAATGACAAGTGGACGTCCCACCACCACCTCTAGATACAGTGCCACCGGACAAGTCATCAAAGCAGAAAGACCAAGGAGGGGGATTCCTAGCTCTGGAATTACAGCTAGGACACTAGCTGTATCTTTTAGCAAAATTCAGTGACTTCCTCTTAAGCCTTATATACACAATAAAAAAAGGCTGTGTGCTGTCACTAAAATGAGAGCATTCTCAATTCAGCATAGTTTGGTATACCCATCTCTGTCCTGTGTCTAGAACCTGTGTGCACCTCCCTCCCATGCCGCTGACCCTCGGGGTCCACACTCATTGTCATCCCCAAGGGAAAGCAGGTATAGCTCTGACGTGGACTCCACAGCTGGAGCGTTGAGTCCTGCCTGTCCTCAGCAAGGTCACTGCATGCTGCTCTATGTCACCCCACTGACCCAGACAGATACCCTCAGAGAAAACAAAGTCAGACTTCTGTGGTCCAGGCCTCTAGTGAGTCAGAATATTGACCTTTTGGTAATTTTTTCCTTTAGAATCTTGGGAAGGACTTAATTTTCACTGTGAGAATGACTTATTCCAGAAAAGAATATACTGTCTTAGGGTACAATTAAAATAGCAAACCAAGCGCTTCCTTGGAGGTGAAAGGACAGAGAATTAGGTAGAGAATTAGGTAAAGGATTCATATTTATGTAGCATGAGGATGAAGGAACTCCAAAAAGAATAGGTGACTTTCATATTTGGGTTCATTTTCATAGAAGCTGTAGGGAAACAATGGGACAGACAGCAAAATCAAACCAACCTCAGAGAGCCAGGAAAGAGACTGGGCTGGGCAAGGGCCCAATGAAGCCAACAGCAGAACACACACAGCTCCTCCTCTGCCTCTCTGCCTGCCGTCAGCTGACTTCCTCCCTTGCCCTTCCCTCTGCCCAGCTGCAGACTAACCCAGGATGTGCCGGTGCCACTGTCCTACACCCCAAGTTTGCCTGCTCTAGGGTTCATTTCCTGCTTTTCTCAGTCCCCATCTCTTTCATTGGTTCACCAGAAAGTGAAACTTTGATATTTGAAGTTCAATCTACATTTTTAAAAACCTTTAAAACAAACTCATTGGGTTGTATGTGTGTCAAAAGAAAACGCTGAATCTCTGAAACGTGAGATCTGTGTTAAAGGAGCTAAACCAAATCCAAAACCTCGCCAGAAAAAATAAATCTAAAACCAGCCTTGCCGAGGACCCAGTGTCCTGTCTCCTGATTTACTCCTGTTCATTTGGTGTCCCCTGGCAGGTCACCCAAGCCTGCCCTCCATCTACCCAAGCCCTGCAGCTCACCCTTCTGTCACCCGCAGCACCCTGGGAGTGAGGGCTCCAGTAGGGGCCAGGGGAGAACCTGAAAGCAGCAAGGACAAGCCGCCATCTCCTCAGGAAGGCCCGGTCTGAGTAACCAAACCTTGGAAGACCATGCTCACTTCAATTCAATTCCACAGAACAGGAACGGCCACCTAACCTGGACCTGTGTCTGCAACACACAGGAAACAACCAGGGCTTCCAGACCTGGGCAAAGCTCCACTCAGCTCCTCCCCCACCTCCGCCCAGGACAGCACTGTGTTCACTACCCCGGTCCTTTGTTTTAAAGCAACTTTCAGTTGTCAAGTGTTTTGAAGGAATGTTAAATCGTGCCCTTCTGTGTTTGTTTGTTCATTTGTTTTTTGCTTAACTGGGAAGATACAACAGAATTCTACTGGATATACGCAGCAAAGAACCCAAAAAAAAGCTCCTTGCTGTCTGACCAGCCACTCTGAGGACGCTGGGTCTGTTGTACTCACGTGGTGCCTGGGAAGGGCTCACGGTGCAACCTTCCCTAAGCTGCAGGCGAGGTACGGCTCTGCCATCTTGGTCAGCTCCACCATTTGCTTTACTTTTCCCTCAAGCCAAAGTCACACTCTAAGGCCATCCAGGGAGGCTCACAGCTCAAGAGCTGAGGGCAAAACCCCAATGTCCCTCTTCCAGATCCAAAGCTGACACTAGAGGGGTAGGATCTTCCCCTGAACATCAGTGTTCTCTTTCCAGCAAAGGTTCTGCCATTTTTTTTTAACCTTCAGGAATTGACCTTCTGGTGTTAAGTAAAACCAAAACCCAGATGGTACAAATGTCTTTGTGTAATGAATATGCAAAACTGAATATTTATACAGTAGAGCCAACTAAACCACAGACTTTACATTAACAGACACACTTAAAGCTCACTTCAGGCAGCATGGTAGCATCCACCTGTAATTTCAGCACCCAGGAAGCTGAGGCAGGAAGACCGCTGTGAGTCTGAGACAAGCCTGCACTACATGAGTTCAAGACCAGTCTGTACTTCACAGTGAGGCTCTGTCTCAAAAGACCAAAAATTAATTAAACTATTTCATTTTGCACTACTAATCTCAATTTTAGAGTAGCTAGTACTACCTTAAAATCTCACTCATCTGTTCTGCTTCTCTTTCAAACACAACACTGCCACTTAACAGAAAAAGCAATTTTTTCTTGGTTTAAAAAATATAATCTTTTGTTACTTTCAAACTTCACAGTTGCTTTCAAACTTCACAGTTGAATTCAGAATGAATAACATTCTGTATTATACTTGTGACTCACTCTCAGATGTCATCACACACCCACTCTTCTTTTTTCGGTGGCAAATAAAAAATATTAGAACAGAACTTCAATTTCAAAGTTCTTTACAATTCTTGGGGAACAACTCTTTAGAAAATAAAGGCTTTCTCTTCGACATTTTGACATCTTAATTTTACTTTTTTATGGCTTAGGACTCACTGAGGGTGAGGTAGTATTAACCAAAAATGCTTTACTTCTCATTGATAAAGAGGCCCATGTTCCCCCCAAACAAACAAAAAATCAAACCTTCCTGGAACTTTGTAGGGCTAGGAAATGTTCTCTATCTTGATTTGGTTGTGGGCAAAAAGGTGCATACACAAACTGTACTCTCTGGATCTCTGTGTTTCACTGGGTGTTAAATACGGATGGATAAAAAGTTTTTTAAACCTTTCCACAAATCGCATTTCAACATCTAACATCAGTAATACACCTTGGACCTGAGTTTTTCATGGGCTAACAAGTTCCCAAGGCAGGCATGGTGGCGCACACCTGTGATCCCAGCACTTGGAAGGCTGAGGTAGGAGGATCACAAGAGTTTGAGGCCAATCCTGGGCTATATATAGTGAGTTCAGGGCCAGCCTGAACTGCATAGCAAAACACTGTCTCACAACCAAAAACAAAAAACAAAACAAAACTCCAATTTTAAAAAGTTCCTAAATCCAAAGAAATGCCCCACTCCACAGCCAGACTCACCTTCCATCCCATCCCACCCCACCCCCATCTCCATTCATCTTTACTCCAGAGCTGCCCAGGAGAGAAGCCCCACTCACCTCCACAGGCAGGAGCGGCATCTTCAGCTTGGCAAGCCGGGCCTCAGCAGGCACCTTTGAGTCCACCCTCTCTAAGCTCTGCAGCTTCAGCTTCGGAGACTCACTGGGGACCTGATCCTGCCCATCCATGGGCCGCACGTAGGCCGTGGGCTTCTGCTGCAGGGCCACACTTTTGGAGGGCAGTGGGGGAGGTGGAAACGTCTGAGGAGGAGGCTGGGGAGCAACCCCGAGGCTGGCTACCACCGCCACACTGTCCAGAGGGGCCTCTTTCTCACGAGCCTTTGCGGCTGTGTCCTTGGGAGACCTGGCTGGGCAGGAGCCTTTGCTACTGCTGCCACTGCCCTGAGCCTTGCTGCCTCCTTGTGCCCTGGGCAGAGCTGGGTGGGTGGAATGTACAGGTGACAGGGGCGGCACCGGAGAGGGCAAAGAGGAGATGAAGGGAGAAAGCTCTCCGGCCGGAGTGGCGCCTGTCCTGGGGGCAATGGGGTCTTTGTCACCTCTGTGGTCCCCCCTTTTGTGCTGACTGGAGCCAGACCCTTCCTGCCTGAGGTGGTCCTGAGTCAGGTACTGGCTGTCCAGCGGGCCATAGCCCTTGGCGTGAGGGCCCGGCACTGAGTCCATTCTCAGCTGGACCATCTTTGAATTATGGCTGCTGCTGCCCATGGGAAGGGGCCTGGGTGCAGAGGTGTGCAAGGGCTGGTGGTGGACACCAGAGTGGAAGGGGCTGGATGGAATGCTGCTCCCCCGCTCGGGAAACAAAGGGTATCTTGGCTTCCCCAGCCGGTTCTCTGAAGCATCCGGGCACTGAGGGTAGGAAGTGATGCTCAGGAACTCCTTCATCTCTTCATAGTTCCCCAGCATGCTCTGTAATCGGCTGGATAGCTCATCACCTTTCGCTGTCTGAGACACAGAAAAGGCAACAGAGTCAGGTACTGAATAAAAAACGTCTAAGGAGAAGAATCATTTAACAAGCTGTTACACAATGCCATTAAGGATAGAAAAGCTCGATTTCATGTGGAACTTACAGATTCTAAGAGTGTAGAGTTTTAACTCATTTCCCTGTTGAGAAGCCTATCATAAACACACGTTACTAATCACAGACTAACGTTACAAAAGAAAACCACCAACTTCAGTAATTCTAACAATATTCAAAGAATTTTCAGATTTGTTTTCAAAAGCACTTGTGAGGATGAGTTATTTTCACAGTTGTGAACTTGTTACACTGAATCATTTTATCAGAGTTCGGTGCTGTGAGAGATCAGAGTTGGGCCTTCGAGTACACAGTACGCACCTTGTAGGGCTCTCCAAAAAGAGGCATCTCTTCAGGAAACTCCTCTTGCTCTTGGTGAGCTTCCTGGTTGCGTCGTTCCTTCTCTCTAACTCGAAGCAGGTTTCTGTCTTCATTGTACAAGCTGTTTCAGATGCCGCAAAAGAACAAAACAACACCATTTATCAGTGCCCAAGTTTTGCGGAGCATGTGTGCATGTGTGGTGGGAGGTGAAGATAGCTCCAGAAGAAGCAATAACAAGGATGTCACATACAGTCCTTTAAGCCCACTGGGCACATAGCTCACTAGCAGAAGGCTTGCCTGGAATGTACAAAGTCCTGGGCTGGATCCCCAGAACCACATAAACAAACACATAAATATATATATATAGCTAAATAGACAAAGTCCCCTAACCGCTCCCATACCAAGGCTTCGGTCACCTGGCTGTGACCTTCCCGCCCCAGGACCCCAGGCCTTCTTCTGGGCTTCAGCTCCATTCTGGATCAGGTCAGGACTGAATCCAAGATGAACTATCTTTTATAGGCACTGTGGGACTGACACAAGAAGAAGGATATTTGTACATGCAGACTGCAAAATATAGGGTAGAGGTAGAAGCATTTCATCTGAAGGAGAAGGCAGGATGTGAACTTTAGAAAGGCCGTTTTCCTGGATCTGTATCATACATTTTGGAAGATTAATATCAAAAAGCTTATTTCATAATTAAAAGATTACCAGGTACCCAAAACAGTACTTACTTTATTCCCAGCCTACTCTATTGGGACTGTCTTGGCATTTAAACCCAAAAGGATGATTTTTATTTCTTATTTCAAATGTCAAGGATGAGAAGACCCAATTATAGATGTCAGCTCTACCTACTGAGAGTGACTTACAATCTGACTGCCCTACTTAACCTGTATAAAAAGTCTCCTAAGTCATCAGCTCTGACACCAAAGGCATTAAAGCACATTCTCTGAGGAGCAAGTCTCAGAGAGGGAGTCAGGAAAAGGGCGATTTCAGCTCTCCTATAGGCTCAAAGCTGGGCCTGCCTCACGGTCAGCAGCCAGCCTGCTTCCTGCAGACACTCACCTGGGATATAGAATGGATAAGAAAAGAACTACAAAAAGTCTGTCTTCATAGACCTGCTTCTAGAGACTCCACTGAATCCTCCTCCCAATGCTACTTGAACAAACAGGAAAACAATCCCTTGCTGTGACTTTGGACATCATCACCAATCCCAGCTCTAACGTCAGAGGCCTGCCAGCCCCCTCGTGGCTCCTCACTCTTATTTCTCTGACAGAAGACTGGGGCTCTCCCAGCTTTCTGTGTATCTAGTTCCTCTCCTCCAGACTTCCCATGAAAAGAACCCACCAAAACCCCGATCTGGATCTTGCATCACCATCCACATCTAAGTGAACAAGTGTTTATATGGCAGCGTCCTAGTGCAGAATAAATTCGAAATCCTTGCTTTGGTATTGAAAACCCCCAACCTAGCACAGATCTGCTCCACACATGGTCCAGCTCTGCCCCGGCAGACCTGCCTCACACATGCTACAAGAACTTGGTACCCGTTCCTGCCCAAGTATAAGCAAGGTCAGGGGAGCCCCTTGCTCTAACCCTGACCTAGGTCCCCTTTAATAAATGACAAGCAATTGTCCAGGCACAGTTGACCTGGGCAGGAGGATGGTCCCACAAACATCTCTATTTTGGTCACCCCAGGATATTCCCCACTCCTCTGTGCTGGGCTAGACTCTGGTGCCTTAATTCCAATCACACAAATGTCTGCTGCCTCTCTCAACACACCCCCAATTCCCAATATTCAGCTAACCGCAGCTCTCTGGAGTCATTCAAGTGTTACTCTAAGGGCTTCCTCAAATTCAAGTCCAAGCACGTTCCTCACACACCAGCCCATCATCTCTCCCCCTCCTCCCTGTCCCCTAGCATGTGAATGCCATCGGCACAGACCCTCTCACACTGAGTTCTGTCTCCTGGCACTAATATTTTGTAGAGAAGCTGGTCTCTAGATTTTTTTTTTTTTAAAAAAACAGCCACAATGCTTGCAATATATTTTTATAAACTTACTTGTAGTAACTCTTATCTTAGATTTGCCTTTGAAAGGCATATGCAAAAAACTATTTTAAACATTATAACCATCTTTAAAATGATCTGCTTTTTCCATAGCCTTTCAGTCTAATGGTGGGCAGGGGTGTGAGGGGCGCTAAGCACGTCGTGGAGCTTTAGACAAGATTTAGTCAAGGACCATCTGCTTAGAGCACCTCTCAGACAACAGATAATAACCACACAGATAACCATTTATGTGAGGGAACATAATGAAAAAGAGGAGAAACTGAACTAGAACCTGGCTGGAGCCATCTCTAACATAGTCTGAATGCCATGTGCTTCAGATGGTCAGCCTTAACTTCCTGTTGGCAGAGGCACAAAGCACTTGATGACTACTCAGGAATTCTTCTGTTATTTAGTGATTTTGCTTGTCCCTTTTGTTGATTCAAAGGGCATAAACCATTATTAGCATACAATCATAGAAGCTACCTAAGACAGCTGATCAGAAAATAATTTTTTTCCTTTAAGCTTGTTTTTTTGGAACTTAGGCCAATCTGCAGGCAGAGAGGAGTGCAGCGTGCAACTTATCCCCTGAAACTTGAACTCCAGTGTGTGAGCCAGGAAATCACCAAACACCGGTCTCACAGTGTGCACTCCTGGTTGGAGCTGGACAGGCTGGGTGGATGGGTAGGGGGCTGGCCGAGGGTACCTACATAGCTGACCTCCCCACCAAAGGAGCTCTTTCTCATCCCTGATGGTGTGAGTTACAGTGATGGACCCTACAGCTTCCCTTGCTCCCAGTGCCCATTCACTGCCTCTGGCTCTGAGTTCTAAAGCAGAATTCTGGCCACTTCTGAACAATCCCTGCCTTTGTCTTTGAAAAGGAAACCAAACAGCAAAATTCTAATGCAGCACGTAACACTGGGGGTATGGGTAGTAGTGCCTCAACAGCCTTCTTAGGGTCCCTGTTTAATTCTGCCACCAATTCCACACTCCATACAAAGTCACACTGGTTGTAAATTACTGAAATATTTCTGAATAGACCATCTCAGCTCTCTATCAGCCTCATCTCAGCATCAGTTAGGCTCTACCATGCTTGTGGGTTTTTATTCCAATGTAATGACAACTGCTAAGGAAATAACAAAGTGGGGGGCAATTAAGCCATTCAGTTATAAAATTCCTAACAGTGAGGCCCAGGCAGGGAGATTTTGAGTTCAAGGCCAGTCTGGGCTACACAGAAAATCCTGTCTCAAAACAACCAACAAAAACTCACAGGAAAAAGTTCTAACAGTGGCTTATTACTATGTGATTTTAAAATCAAGGGGCCCCCCACAGAAGAAATCCTATTCCATTAAGCATTCTGGTTAATGATTAACTTGATTTGTTTAAAAATATTAAAAGAACCCACACCAATATTCTATTAGGAGACATGTAATACTATACTAATCTTCAGAGTAACTCTGAATGATTTTTCTTTAACTGGTCATCATTGCTCAAATGAAAAATTTATAAGTGGCAAGGTGAGTGATGAAGGTCACTGTTAGGGGGGTTAATGAGGCCCTGACTTTGAGAATCTTGCCCTCACCTCTCTGCATCTGGGGGCTTCCAGGCAGTGTTCAACCAGGCCAGAAGTGCACAGGAAGCCTATGAGGCCTGGCCCTGCTGCCTCCTTGGAGCCAACAGGCTTTGGCCAACTGCAGCGAGGAGACTTCTCTCTTCACCTGTTACAAGTCTGCAATGGCTGAGGGTAGTGATGTTGAACCTTTTAAAGCTCTCAATGGTACAAATAGCATGTCACAGGTTCACCACCATGGCTCAGGGAATGGTTTATCGAAAGTTCGCAGGCAGGGCCAGGGGTTTAGCTCAGTGGTTCCACTGTCTGACTCGCAAGCACAAGGACCCGAGTTCGATCCCCGGTAACAAAAAAAAAAGTTCCCAGGCAAAATTTTTCAGGAATATTTTCCTTTTCTTGGTTCCATTTTGAAATCAAGGAAAATGTAAAAGAAAAATCACACAAACAATTCACGCCATGAGGGAACTTTCGTTCAGCCTATAATGCATCACTGTTTTCAAACCAAGGTGCTAGCACTGAGGAAGAGGATGGAAGAATTTTTAAAGGAGGGGATTTTTAGGAAGTAGCCAATGTCCTACATGATTCACAAGCTCTGTAATTACCTCCGAATAATTACAAGTTCACTATCACTTTAATTAATGGTAATTAATGGTGACCTTTCTTTCCCTGCATGGAGAAAAGAGCGTTTTCACTCTCACGTACACAGAACAACCTTACCCCAGGCTGAGCCTGAGCAGAAGTTCTCAGACCAACACAGGATGGACTGAGTGCCAAGTTCTCCCAGCCGATGTCCATGCAGCACTCCACATGAGAAGTGTTCTCAAGCTTCAGGGAGCATCACAGTCACAAAGAGGACTCAGAGACCCAGAGTTTCCATTCACACATCGAGGCAGGGCCTGAGATATGCATGGTGAACAAGCTTTCGGGTTCTGGGGGGGCAAGAGGAATGTTCTCTCCTGGGGGGCTTAGCACTGATGACAGCAGCAGGCTGGGGACTGGCCACTTCTGGTGTCCCCATTCAGCACTAATTCAGGCAGCCCACATCAGCCTCCATGCAGGTCTCACAGCCCTGGGCCCTGGGAAAGCAGGACCACCAACCTCACTTTCCAAGGGGAAAAAAAAACAAGGCTCCACCATTGACTCACCAATAAGAGGAAGCCTGAAAATTCGAAGCTGTTCCCAATCTCAACTCTGCAAGCAAAGCTCTGGGCCTGTGATAAATAGGGTGAGGAGGAGAAAGGTGTGCTTTCTCACTACCACAGACTCGGGGAGGTTCAAGGTATGAGGTGACAGCTGAGGGAGTGCCCTGCCAGCAGATGTGGATGTTGTGCTGGGCACACCCGCACAGGCCTGTCCTGGACTGAGGATCTCAGACAATACTCAAAGTGCGGGATGGCCAATTGCACACCGTGGCTCCTCAACTCACAAACACTGTGCTGCAATGCTTATTTTAGTTTTTTTTTACTTTTTTCCTTTCTTAATTTAAAAAATTGTGGGAACTGGCCCCATAACCT